CAGCGCAGAAGCGCACTGACCGCGGCAATGCCGCTCCTCTCGCACGCGCACACACACAGCCTGCTTCTGGAAATACTGCATCTGAGTTGGACTCCCGACACGGGCTGCTGGTCGGTCCACCCTCCGCGTGGCCCCGAGCGACGACGACGCCGCCGCCGCTGCCGCCACTGCTGCCACTGCTGCCAGGACCGGGGTCGGAGGTCGCGAGGGGACCTCGCCACCGCCACTGCGTCCGCGCGTGCCGACCGCGCGCGTTCCTATTTATTTCATTGTACATTGCATGTCCCGGCGAAACAAAACCCGCGATGTCCACGGCTGACATGCCGCCCCCCTCTCCCCCCTGACCCCCATACCTCCCACCCCACCACCAACCCACCGCTCGCCCGCCTGCCGTGAACGTTTACCGCTCTGCGTGGTTTTCCTCCTCGTTTGATTGATTCACCACCCCACCACCGCTCCCACCCCCTCCCTCCCCCATCTAAAAAAAAAAAAACTCCGCCCACGTTGTTCGTGCAATAAAGACGACGAATATCTCTCTCTCTCTCCTCTCTCTCTGTCGTCTCTCTCGATGTCGCCCTCTCACCCACGTGCGTTCGCGTTGTCCTCGCGTGTCGCTCCGACGTCGTTCCGACGTCCTCGCGTGCGTGGCGAGAACGGAAATTCTGAAGAAAAGCTCCCGGGCCGGAGCGGGAGCTGAAACGTCGGACCTCGATACGCGATCATTGCTGCTGGGGTGGATGGAGGCGGTGGGGGAGTGTTGAATTATATTTTTTACGCACAGCGCCAGGTACTCATTTGAGTCTGAGTCGACCTAGGGGAGGTCCAGGACCAGTGCAGGTAATCATCAGCGGTGTTGGTGGCCGTGAGCGGGAATCGAACTCGGGGCACCGGGTTCCTAGTGCAGCGCGCTAATCAATGAACTACTGCCCCCCCCCATCCCCCCCACAAAGACAAAGATCCCCCGTATAGCCTTAACAGAGTGTTGGGACAAGTGCTGTTTGCGAGTAGCACCTATGAAGGCCGGCACGGCACACGAGGGGGTGACACACACACACAACGAAAACCGCTAATTGGTACGATGTGGTGGTGATGTCACCACGGCGCCTGTGCCAGGCCAGGTGCACTTGGAGGCCACGTGAAGCGTCGAAGGCTCGCTGACAGGAGGTCACGGGGCAGACCCAGCAGATGCCGCGGGTTGACTGACCGAGATGATCGGCAGAAACACACAAACCCACACAACAACAACCGCCATTCGCCACTAAGTGACGGTGATATCACCACGACGCTTGTGCCAGGCTATGTGCACCTTGAGTCCACGTGAAGTTCCGAACGCCCGCTGACAGGTCACGGGGCAGACCCAGCAGGTGCCACGGGTCGACTGACTAAGATGACAGATGGCTGGCTGATGCACCACCTGTGCCGCCTACTGTGCCAACTTGCTGTGCTTTAGCCACCCTGCGCTCCACTAGTTGTTGTGAGCGTCGCTCCTCTGCCCTCCGTTGTTGTTGGAGGGCGACTGCCTCTAACTGCCCAGTAGCGTCCTTCACGAGCCTTCTCCACAGAGGCCGATCTTGACACCGCTGGTACCAGTCATCGGCAAGTCCACTCAGCTCCACGTCCTCCTGTACCACGTCACTCCATCTCTTCTCTAGCCCGTGCCGCGCCCGCTTAGCCCCCTCAATCCGGCCGAACAAAAGCTGTTTCGGCATGCGGTGGCTGGGCATGCGGGCTACATGACCCAGCCATCGCAGCCTTGCCCGCCGGAGGAGCTCACCGATGGGACCTTGCCCAGATCTTTCAAGGATTTGTGAGCTCCTCACACAATCCAGTCTGGTTAAACCCAGGATGGATCGTAGGCAGGCCAGCCTAAATATTTCTAACCGGCGAAGATGTTCCATTAGGGGGGTCCACGTTTCGCAAGCGTAGAGAAGGAAGGGAATGACCGTGGCCGAGAAGACCTGAAGCTTAGTGCGGAGCGACAGACCAGGTAGCTTCCACACAGCGTTACGCAACCGATGAAAAGATATTGCCGCTCGACTGATTCGGAGTGAGACCTCTGCTGTTAAACTGGAGCCAGTCATAAGCACACTGCCCAGGTATGGGAAACTCTCCACTCTCTCCACAACTGCCCCATCACCGATTGGGAGTTGTGGGGGTGGAGTGTCCGATGGTACAAAATACCTAGGCAGGTGCTTAGTCTTGGTGGGGCTGATGGTAAGGCCCCACCTCTTAGTGGCACGCTCCAGTCTCAATAGCAGCGTCTCCAACTCCTCCTCTGACTGAGCAGCTATTACCAAATCATCAGCATACATAACGTGGTTGAGCAATAGGGAGCCATCCCTTGACCGCACCCGAGCATCGAGCAGCCTCCCATTATATCTGTACTATATGGAGATTCCCCCGGTACAGCTATTGAAGGCTTCACGAACTACGTGGTCAAAATAGATGTTAAATAATGTGGGAGCCAGAGGACATCCCTGTCGCACCCCAAGGTGTACAGGGAATGGCTCTGACTCCCGGCCACGTAGTTTTACCCGGGCCCGCTCACCATCATGAAGGTCCTTAATGATCGTGAGCAGAGGGTCAGGTACTCCAAAAGCACGAAGAACGACCCAGAGGCCAGGCCTACTGATGGTATCATAGGCCTTGACCAGGTCAATAAAGTAGAGATGTAGGTCTTGTTGGAATTCCCTACACCTCTGCTGTAGCAGACGGACAGAAAATATGGCATCTGTGCAGGACCGCCCTTTCCTGAAACCGCATTGGGGCTCCGCAAGCCTCTCCTCAGCGTGCCTGGCAAGGCGATGCTGAATAATCCTTGCCAGGACCTTTCCCGGCACACTGTTAAACACACACACACGTACACACACACACACGTACACACACACACACACGTACACACACACACGTACACACACACGTACACACACATACGTACACACACACACGCAGGCGCGTGCGCGTGGGAATCCAACTGGTTACGTTTTATTGAAGGTCTCTGGTGCGATGGTAAGAAAGAAACCAACGGGGGGGGACCGGCGTTCGCCTCGATCGGGAGCAGCGCGCCGCACGCCCGAGTCGTTGTTGTCGTCGTTGGCAAGAGGCCCTCGCGAACCTCTCACTCGCGGTTACGGTCGCGTGCGACGACCGCCCTGACGAACCAAAAAAAACATGTCGAGACGCCACGGCAGATCGTTTGGCCGTCAACCGGGAGACCGGCACAAAACTAGCAACGGAAATATGCTTTACAGAGAAATGTGCTTGCACATTCATTAATAAATGCGCATTCCCTTTAATTAATAAATGTAATAAGAATTTTTACTTCATCGCCAATTTTATTTTCCCCATGAGAACAAGAGAATGTATCACACTATATTTTTATGAAAATTAAAAAAAAAAAACAAGATTTGCTGGCTGGCTGGCTGGCTGGCTTCCTGCCTGGATTCCTGTCTGCCTGGCTGGCACGCAAGTGCGCGTGCGCAGCAGTGACGCCGCACAGCGCACACACCTCGAGCGCAGACGTCACGCCTGAACCCCCCCGCCCCCACCCACCCTCCTCCTTCCACCCCGGCCATGTATCCCACTTAAATTCATGGCATATGCTAACCACGCTTTCATATCAGAGGCAAAAGTTTTACTGGCTAGCTGGCTGGCTGGAAGGACGGATGGTCACGTCCAAAGGAAATGCGGGCTGCTGGTTAATATAAAACGATAATATATTGAAGCTGTGTTCCCCCTGCCCCTCTTGTTCTCTCATCGTGGGACGAGAGACAGGGATTCACTTCTTACTCAAGGACATTCCAGGTCGCTTCCAGGCTGCAGGTGGGGAGCACGTGACTAGTCATAGCCAGGGGCCACCGACGAGCAAGATCCTGGATTTGGTGTGCCGGGCGCAGACCTACTTCGTCTGGGGAACCGAAACGGACAGACCAAGGCTGAAATTAAGCGAAGACAAAGATCCCCCCACCCCGTATAGCCGCAACAGACTTTTGGGGCAAGTTCTGTTAGCGAACAACTATGGAGGCCGGCACGACACACGAGGGGATGGGTGGCCAGCACCACGCCGCCTTTGTCTCCCTAATGGCGACGTTTACACACCGCACTGAGGCTGATTCGACTTAGGGGAGGGCCCAGGACTGCTTCAGATAATGGTCGCTGGTGTTGGCCGTAAGGGGGATTTCGAACTCAGGACGCCGGGTTTGCAGCATGCAAGGTGGTGCGCTGGTGTACTGCTCGCCGCAAGCGCTCCAAAAATTCAAGCTACTCTCTTGTCTCACGACAATAATAATAACAACAACGACACAACACTGAGAGCACAACGGGAACAAGCTGGCAAGCCAGTCGCTTAAGGGAGCCTTCGTTAAGTTGGGGTTGTTAAGAGCGTCAGGCTACCCCGGGTAGCGGACGGAAGGTTGGACGACAGACAGACGTAAATATTCCCCATGCATTACAATCATTTGTCGATGAACGCCCTGAATAAACCTCTGATGAGAAGGTGAAACAAAACAGAAAACGCAACACGTTCGTTCGTAACACTGTGGCCTCCTTCATAGCACATGAGGGTCATTTCCCCCGAAATGTCGCCTGCTATATATATTTGTTTTCGTTTATTTGAAGGCCACGCAGCGTTATTGATCAACGTGGCGAGTCGTTGCTGTTAGTTGTGCTTGTGCACCGCTGCCAGCGCAGCAGCAGAATCGCCACGTAATTCGACAGAAGCAGTAAAAACGACGGGGAGGGAGACTACAGTGACGAAGACGAATGGCGCCATCTTCCGAGTTGCAGGAGACAATGTCTCCTTCAACGACATTGTCTCCTGCAACTCGCGGTGACGAGATGTTAACCACCTCGCTTGGTATGCAGGAGGTCCGTGGGTTCGATCCTGACCCTGACGTCTGCTGCTGCTGCTGCTGTATATTTGGAGTTTGAGTGTCTCTCTCTCTCTCCCCCTTGTGGCCGCGTGGATTTTTCTCCGGGTCCTTCGGTGTTTCCACCTCCACGTTTAGAATCAACGTTACCACGCGTTTTCGAGTATTTGGCTGCTCGCAAATGTCCACGCGACGATGAGCCACTTCGGCTGCGCTATCATCTGCGATAGCCAGGTCGCTTCTGCAAAAGAGCTACCATGTAACTCAGTGAGCCTTCCTTACCTGGTCAAATTGAAAAAAACTTTAGTTTAGGTTCAGTCAGCTCGATGGGCCGAAATCAAGTGACCCCGACGGGATGGACGATGACCTCAGGTGACTTCCCCATCCCCCCCCCCGCGCCCCCGAGGCCGTCGCCCTTCTCGGCACCGCCCCCGACCCTCGCGTCACACTGTCTGCGTCTTGCTGTAGGCCGCCGGCCACGTGTAGCAGTCGGGGACGAAGGAGTCGTAGTCGGGGCTGTAGACGTGGGATCGAACCAGCGCCTCCTTGTCCTGCGGCTCTGGGTAGAGGCTCGCCATGCCGCTCGCGTACGCCTGCTCGACAATCTGGTGGCAGAGAGAGGGAGGGACGACGACGATGACGGGGAAGGGGACAGGGAAGTGAGAGACGGGGAGAAGGCAGAGGGAGTGAGACAGTGGGAGAAAGGAGAAATGTGTACAGGCTTCCCTCGCTTTGCGAGGTGGTAGATGATTTACGGAAGAAAGAGGGACCGGGGAAAGTAAAACTGTTTTGCGGTGCATTGTGGGTCACCCGACGCATAATGCACCGCTCGAGGAGACAGCTGCGTGCCGAATAGCACACACAGCAAACACACAGTACACACACGATGTTGTCCTACGTCTGACCACATAGCCGCGCTGGCCCAGGTCGCCTGGGCCCACGCAGCCTGGGCCAACTTGGCCTGGGGCCACATGGCCCGGGCCAACTTGGCCTGGGGCCACATGGCCTGGGGCCACATGGCCTGGGGCCACATGGCCCGGGCCAGCGTGGCCTGGGCCCACGCAGCCTGGGGCAGCGCGCTGTGGGTGCACAATCGCCCCCCGGTGCTCGCTCGCCGTACCTTCACCGCGATCTTGAAGGAGATATCCCTGATGGAGCTGAGCGGTGGGTAGAGACGTCCCTCTGCCAGATGCGCGTCCGTCACCTCCCCAGCGATCATCTGCGAGACAAATGATTGTGGCAGTCGCCGCCGCCGCCGCCGCTGCTGCTGCTGCATCGGCAGTGGTGAAGCGCAGTTAACCCTTTTCCCGTTCCGATGACGTGCATGTACGTGTCCGTCATCAGTTTTTCTTCCGATTCCGTTAACAGCACTTGCCTCAACGGTCTGTTAAGGCTAAACGGGCGATGTGTGTGTGTGCGTGCGCACGTGTGAGCGTGCGTGTGTGTGCGCGTGCATGTGTGTGCGTACGCCGTGTGTGCGTGGCGTGCCATGCCGCGCGTGGTGTGCGCGTGCCGTGCGTATGCGTGCCGTGAGTGCGCGTGGCGTGCCGTGCGGCGTCACCTCGGCGGTGGCGAGGAAGGCCTCGTCGGTGATGTGCCGCAGGCGCGCCGCGATCACGCCCAGCGCCAGCCCCGGGAACACGTAGGCGTTGTTCCCCTGGCCCGGGTGCAGCATGCGGCCGCTGGGCAGGGAGACGGCCGCGAATGGGGAGCCGCTCGCGAACACGCCTCGGCCCTGCGGGCACGCACGGGGAGCGAGATGCATGGGGAGAGGCACGGTGAGAGACACTCAGAGGAGAGAGAGAGAGGCATGGGGAGAGACATGGGGAAAGAGAGAGATGCATGGGGAGAGATACGGTGAGAGAGAGAGAGAATTTCCCGAGTAAAGTCCAGAGCTAAGAAGTTACTTTTGAAGGGGTGACTCAGCCGACAGAGAGAGATGCAGCGGGGAGACTCCCACCACGTGAGTATTTCTATTAATCAGAGACAAACTATTTTGTTTTACGATTAATGCATAGGGCCCCGATTGTAAAATGGACCGCCCCCCACCACTTCCCGTGGGGAAGTTTCAAGATCCGCCTCTGTGTTGTAGCAATCTTAAGACCTCAAGAGCTCAACGATATTAATAACAAGTTTTGTTGTATGTATTTGCGTCGAATGAACTGCATCGCACAGGCAAAGCTGGGAGGCAGCAGCCAGGCGGTGAGCTAGCAGCACCAACAATTGCCCGGGTTCTGCAGTTCTCGAAATATTAATATGTTTGCAGCCCCAGGATTGGGGTGTTTGGCCAACTCCATTAACGAGCGTTTGTGCACGTGGGAGGTGACCGGAGCACGTGGAGGAAACCCGCGCGTGCGAGGGGGCAACGATCGATCCCATACAGCCGGACCAGGTGGGGTCCACATTTGTGCCGCGCCGCCTTCTCCTGGCCACGCCAGGGGGTACGGCTCCACCTCGGCTGTGATCCACCAACCCCCGCTGCTACCTCCACAGCGCTGGATCACAGGCAGGGTAGCCACCCACTACCAAAGACAATGCTGTTAAGCGAGCGCCTGTGAAAGCCAGCATGGCGTGGGGGGCGAAGGGGGCGAGGGGGCCGGCACCTCGGTGACGCGGTAGCACTGCTCCGCCGTGCACTCCGCCTTGCTGGTGGGATTGCTGAGCGCCAGGATGATGGGGCGCTCGTTGAACGTGGCCATGTCGCTCAGGATGCGGTCGGTGAAGGCCCCCCCCACTGCTGCCACGCCTGGAATGCACAAGGACAAAGATCCCACCCCCCCCCCCCCCCGTGTATCCTTAGCAGAATGTTGGGGCAAGTGCTGTTAGCGAGTCGCACCTGCGAAGGCCGGAACGGCACACGAGGGGCTGGGTGGCCAGCAACAGGCCCGGCCGTCTTTGTCTCCCCAGTGCTTATTCGAGTCTGAGTGGACCTGGGGTAGGCCCAGCACCAGTCCAGATAATCGTCAACGGTGTTGGCCGTGAGCGGGAATCGAATTCGGGTCGCGGAATTGATAGCGCAGCGCGCTAACCGCTGCACCACCGCTCCCCACTACACACACACACACACGGGTACAAGACGAAGACAAAGATACCCCCGTAACCTTCGCAGACGTTAGGGGCAAGTGCCGTTCGTGAGTGGCACCTACGAAAGCCGACATGGCACAACGAGGGGGGTGGGTGGGCCAAGACCACGCACGCACGCACGAGCGCACCAGGCCGTGTGCACAAGCGTTAATGTCACGCCGGAACCAGAGCGGCTATTGAAAGCCTCTGGCCCCCGCCGCCGCCGCCGGCGTTGTTGTCTTTTGCAAGTGCGACCGAGCGTCCGCTCGCACGCTTGCCGCGTGTCACCGCCGCATGTCTCTTGATGCGTAGCCGCAGCTGCGACGGCGGCTCGCTGGGACCCCCCCCCCCACCCCCACCCCCCCACCCCCCCCCCCCCCCCCCCCCCCCCCCCCGTTTGCTGTGTTTGCGTTTGGGCTGAGAATCCGATTGTCTTTTTTTTTTCCGAATTAATATTCCGGCAGCGGTTATCCTCGTGATGACAGTGGCGAAGTTTCCATCGGGAACGTCCGCGGCTTGTGCCACCGCGCGCTACTCCCCGTGGGCGCCGCGGCGGCTAGGAGATGTGAACGACCTCGCCTCCATATGCAGGAGGTCGTGGGTTCGATGCCGACCCTGACGCCTGTAAAATATTCAGAGTCAACGTCAGGCGTTCAGAGTATTTGGCTGCCGTGCATTTCCACGCGATGAGCCACTTCGACGAGCTGTCACCTGCGGCCGGGCCGCTTCTGATAAAGAGCCACACAGCTCAGTGGCGCCTTACCTGGTAAAATAAAAAAAAGATGGTAAGACGATTACTCCTTGGTTCTTTCGGTGAAGTCGCGTAGAGAGAAAGTAAATTAAACGATAGAGTACGACGTTTCGATCGCAACGCACGCAGTCGTCATCAGGTAGAACTACATTTGAGAGAGAGACAAAACACAGCCGCGGAGAGACACAGACAGACACACAAGCAGAGAGAGACAACACAGAGACACACAGACAGACACACAAGCAGAGAGAGAGACAACACAGAGACACACAGACAGACACACAAGCAGAGAGAGACAACACAGAGACACACAGACAGACACACAAGCAGAGAGAGACAACACAGAGACACACAGACAGACACACAAGCAGATAGAGACAACACAGAGACACACAGACAGACACACAAGCAGAGAGAGACAACACAGAGACACACAGACAGACACACAAGCAGAGAGAGACAACACAGAGACACACAGACAGACACACAAGCAGATAGAGACAACACAGAGACACACAGACAGACACACAAGCAGAGAGAGACAACACAGAGACACACAGACAGACACACAAGCAGAGAGAGACAACACAGAGACACACAGACAGACACACAAGCAGAGAGAGACAACACAGAGACACACAGACAGACACACAAGCAGAGAGAGACAACACAGAGACATACAGACAGACACACAAGCAGAGAGAGACAACACAGAGACACACAGACAGACACACAAGCAGAGAGAGACAACACAGAGACACACAGACAGACACACAAGCAGAGAGAGACAACACAGAGACACACAGACAGACACACAAGCAGAGAGAGACAACACAGAGACACACAGACAGACACACAAGCAGAGAGAGACAACACAGAGACACACAGACAGACACACAAGCAGAGAGAGACAACACAGAGACACACAGACAGACACACAAGCAGAGAGAGACAACACAGAGACACACAGACAGACACACAAGCAGAGAGAGAGTGTTGTCTCTCTCTCTCTCTCTCAACCTGATGACGACCGCTTGTGTTGCAATCGAAACGTCGCTTTCGATTATTTCATTTATTTTTCTTTCTACGTGACTTTACCGAGAGAACCAAAGCGTGTGAATTCCTGCAGTCACGAAAGCTTCAAATCAAGTCAAACGATTGTCCCCTCGCTCTCCTGGTCACCCTGGACGACAGCTCCTGGCAAGCGCCCTGACTCTGCCGACTAAAGGCCCAGCGGAAGATCGAAACCCGTCCCGGGTTCTCTCGCCCGAAACAAAACGCCGCCGGGCGCCGTCGCCCTGGTAGATCGAATCGGCCCCGCGGGACCGAAAACGCGACGATGGCCATTTCCCTTCTCGGCCGAAACGCGGAGACGCCGGGCGGACGGAGCTGGGTAGCTCCGTCCGCTCTTCCCTCGCCCCGACGACGATTCGCTGCAGCGGCCACGGCGGCGCACAACGACTTCGCACCGACCGGTGGACCGCGTGAGTGGTTTCGAAACGAAACGATCGTGGCAACGATTCCCGAAAACGTTTCCTGACCCAATTATTACTTTATCTAAAGAAAAACTTTCATATTGTGAGTTTCCACGCTCGCAGCGCACGCGGGGGGGGGGTGGGGGGGTGGGGGGGGGCAGGGAGCCTCGTCGGCCCGGGGCGTGCCGAGCGATGGAGCAGCGGCTCGCGAATCCGAAAGTTTTTAGAGTTAAATTCCCGTTTGGCCGTTGATCTGTTTTTATTTTTCAATTGCTGCTGTTGCTTGTATCGCGGGAGACAGGCGCGTGTTGTTGTTGTGTTTCCTGGGGGTCTGGGGGTGGCGGGGGGGGGCAATGGGGGGGTACCGATGAGGGCCGTGGGTTTGACGGTGCGCACCACCTCCTCCAGCGATGGCAGCGGCGCGTGGTCGCGGGCAAACACCTCCTTCTCGTGGTTCAGATTCGACCTGCCCTGTACCACCCACCACAACGATTGCTGTCATCCACAGCCACCACCACTACAACCACAACGATTAGCGTCATCTCTAACCACAACCACCACAAAGATTACTTTCATCCACAACCACCACCAAAAACCACTACGATTACTTTCATCACAACCATCACCACCACAACGACCACCACAAGGATCACCGTCACCACAACCACAACAATTACTGTCATCCACAACCACCAATATCACCACAACGATTACTGTCATCACAACCATCACCACCACAACCACCACCACAAGGATCACCGTCACCACAACCACAACAATTACTGTCATCCACAACCACCAATACCACCACAACAATTACTGTCATCGCAACCACCACAACCGTCATCACAACCACCACAACCACAGCCACCACCGCCACCACAATACAAAATAATAGTCGTAGCAATAACAACGACTCTGGACGGACCTTGACGATGAGCCCCTTGGAGTCGACCATCCAAATCCTCTCGAGCGCTTCCTCCCGCGCGGTGCCCTCCTTCTGCATGGCCATCACGAGCAGGTGCGCGATGCCCATGGCAGCCTGCGGGGAACGCAAACAACAACAATAATAATAATTTTCGATTTAAAGCTTTCGTGACTGCAAGGATTCATCTTCTTTGGTTCTTTCGGTAAAGTCACGTAGAATGAGAATAAAATAATAAATTGATAAAATAAAATAACACAATAAAATTCTCACGACGTTTCGGCCACAACACAAGCGGCCTTCATCAGGTGAAGGGACGAGACTGTCTGGAGGACAGCGCTGGAGCGAAAAAGCCACGCTCAGATCGCTAATTCCTTTGTCAAGGCGCATTGTTTCTTCTCACACAGCTTAAAGGTCGCGATCTGAGCGTGGCTTTTTCGCTCCAGCATTTTTTACGTGAACGCTTAAGCAAGTTCAGTGTGACCCCGGGTTCACTCTTGCTGACGAGACTCGTCCCGGTCTCTCGAGTTCTCACCATGGTTAAACTTCACCAAACTTGAGTTAAAGCTTTCGTGACTGCTAGGATCCATACTCTTTGGTTCTATTGGGTAAAGTCACGTAGGTGAAAATAAAATAACAAAAAATCACGACGTTTCGGCCACAACACAAGCGGCCTTCATCAGGTGAAGGGACGAGACTGTCTGGAGGACAGCGCTGGAGTGGAAGAAGCCACGCTTAGATCACGACCTTAGATCACCAAACTTCCCAGACTGGCAGCACGCACAGCGTCTTGTGAACGTGAGGCTCAGTGATGACTTGTGCAGCCAGTGACCTCCAGTGGCGACGATCGGTACCGCGCTCACATTGGCTCCAGCCTAAGGGCGTCAACTATGTTATTTTATCTTCTATGGTTCTTTCAGTAACGTCACGTAGTTAGAAATGAAATAATATATAAACTTTAACTGAGAGGCTACACGTTGATTACTCGGCCCCAACAGGGCTACTACTTAATGTAACAACACGTTAGCTAGAGCCCAACAGGGTAACTACCTAGCTAGACCCCAACAGGGTAACTACATAGCTAGACCCCAACAGAGTAACTACCTAACTAGACCCCAACAGGGTAACTACCTAGCTAGACCCCAACAGGGTAACTACCTAGCTAGACCCCAACAGGGTAACTACCTAGCTAGACCCCAACAGGGTAACTACCTAACTAGACCCCAACAGGGTAACTACCTAGCTAGACCCCAAAAGGGTAACTACCTAACTAGACCCCAACAGGGTAACTACCTAGCTAGACCCCAACAGGGTAACTACCTAGCTAGACCCCAACAGGGTAACTACCTAGCTAGACCCCAACAGGGTAACTACCTAACTAGACCCCAACAGGGTAACTACCTAACTAGACCCCAACAGGGTAACTACCTAGCTAGACCCCAACAGGGTAACTACCTAGCTAGACCCCAACAGGGTAACTACCTAACTAGACCCCAACAGGGTAACTACCTAACTAGACCCCAACAGGGTAACTACCTAGCTAGACCCCAAAAGGGTAACTACCTAACTAGACCCCAACAGGGTAACTACCTAGCGAGACCCCAACAGGGTAACTACCTAGCTAGACCCCAACAGGGTAACTACCTAGCTAGACCCCAACAGGGTAACTACCTAGCTAGACCCCAACAGGGTAACTACCTAGCTAGACCCCAACAGGGTAACTACCTAGCTAGACCCCAACAGGGTAACTACATAACGTCCCAGAAGGTTCTGGAGCTTTACACCAGCTGTCATTTCTCGTCACCTGTCGGTGCCCCCTCGTTATCCTCTCCTCGTCACGTGCCCTCTCTGGTTCACCTCGCCTGTCACATCCTCTGGTGCCAGAGAGAGGCTTTGACACGCACAGTTCCACTGATCTCTCAATAGCTGGCGCTCACGGCGTTGGGACTGTATATACGTCACTAAACTTTCATTGCTGTAACAATACAAAAAAATGTATTTATGCTGTAGGAATCCGAGGAGCCATGAAGCTCTTTTTTCACAGGTGTCCAGTTAAATGATGGTTTGACGGCGCCGCGGTTAAGTCGCCGTACACCGACGGTTTAATACACGCCGCGGTATTAATCGGGGCAAGCCGCTTGATTCGAACCATGAATAACGATAGCAAGCGATTTATTTTTCAGAAGCGACCTGGCTATCGCAAATGATAGCTCGGCGAAGTGGCTTCTCACGCGGAAATGTACAGCAGCCAAAATACTCTCAGACGCGTGATGTTGATTCTAAATGTGGAGATAAAAACTGTAAGACACGGAGAAAAATCCACGCGACCACGGGGTGTGAGAGAGACGCAAACTCCAGGGTCGGGATCGAACCCACGACCTCCTGCACACCGGGCGAGGTAGTTAACATCTCTCCCAACCACGAGGAGAGATAGCCGCAAACTCCAAATATACAGCGGGCATCAGGGTCGGGATGGAACCCACGACCTCCTGCACACACCAGGCGAGCTAGTTAACAACATCTCATAGCCACCGCGGTGAGATGTGACAGGCGAGTTGAGGCGTCACGGCTGAACCTCGAGGTGCTGTGGGGAGCGGCAGCGTTAGGGGTGACCTTGAGCAGTTACCTCTCCGGCGCCCTGGAACACGAAGGTGTTGCTGGAGAGGCGAGTCTCCGTGATCCTCAGGGCCGACAGCAGGCCCGCCACGGCCACCGCCGCCGTGCCTGCGTCACGCAAAGGCGAAGGTGACCCGCGTAGCCTCGTGAAAACAGACCATCGGGGCAAGTGGAGCGAGCAAGTCGCCGCCCGCGAAGGCCGGCATGGGACACATGAGCGCGTGGGTGGGTGGATTTTGAAAACGTTTTGGTTTAGCCGTGTTTGTTTGTTGTAGTACAGAGTTAGCCTGATAACTTTAATCTAAATTTTCTTATGGTTATATACTTAGCTCTTTCGGTAAAGTCACGGGTAAACAATAAAATAATAAAATATTATTTTATATCTTTTATCATTTTATTGTTTCCCTTCAACGTGACTTTACCGAAAGAGCCAAGAATATGAATTACTGCAGTCACGAAAGCTTTAAATCAAAATGTCTTATGGTTGTTATTGTTTGACTTGTATCCCACTGGGATTTTTGCACACAGCGTTGAAATGCGGTGTTTTTTTTCTGGAAGACTTTGCTGTTTTTTCCTGGATTTTTCTGTTGCGCGGAGTCACTTTAAGACGTTTCTTGTTCACGTTTTTGTTTGTTGCGGTTGCACCCGAGTCAAGAGCCGCATGGCTCACAGGGTATTACCTAACAAATGAAACTGAAAAGTGAGGATGTTTACACGGTTGCACGAGGTACTCATTTGAGGCTGAGTTGACCTAGGGGAGGCCCCAGGTCCGGTTCAGATAATCGTCACCGGCGTTGACATGAGAGGAAATCGAAATCGGGTTGTCGGATTCGTTGCGCAGTGCGCTAACCGCTACACCACCGTTCCCTGCAGATACAAAGTATACAGTGAGGGAAAAAAGTATTTGATCCCCTGCTGATTTTGTACGTTTGCCCACTGACAAAGAAATGATCAGTCTATAATTTTAATGGTAGGTTTATTTGAACAGTGAGAGACAGAATAACAACAACAAAAATCCAGAAAAACGCATGTCAAAAATGTTATACATTGATTTGCATTTTAATGAGGGAAATAAGTATTTGACCCCCTCTCAATCAGAAATATTTCTGGCTCCCAGGTGTCTTTCATACAGGTAACAAGCTGAGATTAGGAGCACACTCTTAAAGGGAGTGCTCCTAATCTCAGCGTGTTACCTGTATGAAAGACACCTGTCCACAGAAGCAATCAATCAATCAGATTCCAAACTCTCCACCATGGCCAAGACCAAAGAGCTCTCCAAGGATGTCAGGGACAAGATTGTAGACCTACACAAGGCTGGAATGGGCTACAAGACCATTGCCAAGCAGCTTGGTGAGAAGGTGACAACAGTTGGTGCGATTATTCGCAAATGGAAGAAACACAAAATAACTAAATTTCGATTTAAAGCTTTCGTGACTGCAAGGATTCATCTTCTTTGGCTCTTTCGGTAAAGTCACGTAGAATGAGAATAAAGTAATAAAATAACACAATAAAATTCTCACGACGTTTCGGCCACAACGCAAGCGGGCGTCTTCAGGTGAAAGGTACAGACCTGTAGCTGTCCGTGGCGCTGTAGTGGAAGGTCTGTACCTTTCACCTGAAGACGGACGCTTGCTTTGTGACCGAAACGTCGTGATAATTTTATCGTGTTATTTTATTATTTTATTCTCATTCTACGTGACTTTACCGAAAGAACTAAAGAACACAAGAGAACTGTCAATCTCCCTCGGCCTGGGGCTCCATGCAAGATCTCACCTCGTGGAGTTGCAATGATCATGAGAACGGTGAGGAATCAGCCCAGAACTACACGGGGGGATCTTGTCAATGATCTCAAGGCAGCTGGGACCATAGTCACCAAGAAAACAATTGGTAACACACTACACCGTGAAGGACTGAAATCCTGCAGCGCCCGCAAGGTCCCCCTGCTCAAGAAAGAACGTACACATGCCCGTCTGAAGTTTGCCAATGAACATCTGAATGATTCAGAGGACAACTGGGTGAAAGTGTTGTGGTCAGATGAGACCAAAATGGAGCTCTTTGGCGTCAGCTCAACTCGCCCTGTTTGGAGGAGGAGAAATGCTGCCTATGACCCCAAGAACACCATCCCCACCGTCAAACATGGAGGTGGAAACATTATGCTTTGGGGGTGTTTTTCTGCTAAGGGGACAGGACAACTTCACCGCATCAAAGGGACGACGGACGGGGCCATGTACTGTCAAATCTTGGGTGAGAACCTCATTCCCTCAGCCAGGGCATTGAAAATGGGTCGTGGATGGGTATTCCAGCATGACAATGACCCAAAACACACGGCCAAGGCAACAAAGGAGTGGCTCAAGAAGAAGAACATTAAGGTCCTGGAGTGGCCTAGCCAGTCTCCAGACCTTAATCCCATAGAAAATCTGTGGAGGGAGCTGAAGGTTCGAGTTGCCAAACGTCAGCCTCGAAACCTTAATGACTTGGAGAAGATCTACAAAGAGGAGTGGGACAAAATCCCTCCTGAAATCGGTGTAAACCTGGTGGCCAATTACAAGAAACGTCTGACCTCTGTGATTGCCAACAAGGGTTTTGCCACCAAGTACTAAGTCATGTTTTGCAGAGGGTTTTAAATACTTATTTCCCTCATTAAAATGCAAATCAATTTATAACATTTTTGACATGCGTTTTTCTGGATTTTTTTGTTGTTATTCTCTCTCTCACTGTTCAAATAAACCTGCCATTAAAATTATAGACTGATCATTTCTTTGTCAGTGGGCGAACGTACAAAATCAGCAGGGGATCAAATACTTTTTCCCTCACTGTAGTCTTAACAAACTGTTCGGACAAGTGCTGTTAGCGAGCATCTATTAAGGCCAGCACGGCACACGAGGAGGTGGGTTGCCAACACCACGCCCGGCCGCCTTTGTATCCAAAGTGGCGATCCTTACACATCGCACCAGGTACCCATCTGAGGCTGGGTCGACCTAGGGGAGGCCCATGACCGGTTCAGATAATCGTCACTGGTGATGACCGAGAGCGGGAATGGAACCCGGGTCGCCAGGTTCGTATCACAGCGTAGCGTAGCGCTAACCACTACACTAACGCACACACTCGCACGCACGCACGTAGGGCAGACGCAACAGCAACAACAACCGCCATTCGCCACTAAGTGGAGGTGACGTCACCACGACGCTTGTGCCAGGCCATGTGCACCTTGAGGCCACGTGAAGTGTCGAACGCCCGCTGGCAGGAGGTCACGGGGCAGACCCAGGTGCCACGGGTTGACTGACTGAGATGACTGAGATGACTGAGATGACTGGCTGATGCACCACCTGTGCCCCCTACTGTGCCAACCTGCTGTGCCTTAGTCACCCGGCGCTCCGCTTGTTGTTGTGAGCATCGCTCCTCCACCCTCCGTTGTTGTTGGAGGGCGACTACCTCCAATTGCCCAGTAGCGTCCTTCATGAGCCTCCTCCACAGAGGCCGATCTTGACACCGCTGGTGCCAGTCATCGGCAAGTCCACTCAGCTCCACGTCCTCCTGTACCACATGACTCCATCTCTTCTCTAGCCCGTGCCGCGCCCGTTTAGCCCCCTCAATCCGGCCGAACAAAAGCTGTTTCGGCATGCGGTGGCTGGGCATGCGGGCTACATGACCCAGCCATCGCAGCCTTGCCCACCGGAGGAGCTCACCGATGGGACCTTGCCCAGATCTTTCTAGGATTTGTGAGCTCCTCACACAATCCAGTCTGGTTAAACCCCGGATGGATCATAGGCAGGCCAGCCTAAATGTTTCTAACTGGCGAAGATGTTCCATTATGGGGGTCCACGTTTCGCAAGCGTAGAGAAGGGAGGGAATGACCGTGGCCGAGAAGACCTGAAGCTTAGTGCGGAGCGACAGACCAGGTAGCTTCCACACAGCGTTACACAACCGATGAAAAGATATTGCCGCTCGACTGATTCGGAGTTAGACCTCTGCTGTTAAACTGGAGCCGGTCATAAGCACACTGCCGAGGTATGGGAAACTCTCCACTCTCTCCACAACTGCCCCATCACCGATTGGGAGTTGTGTGGGTGGAATGTCCGATGGTACAAAATACCCAGGCAGGTGCTTAGTTTTGGTGGGGCTGATGGTAAGGCCCCATCCCTTAGTGGCACGCTCTAGTCTCAGCAGCAGTGTGTCCAACTCCTCCTCTGAATGAGCAGCTATTACCAAATCATCGGCATACATAACGTGGTTGAGCAATAGGGAGCCATCCCTTGACCACACCTGGGCATCGATCAGCCTACCATTATATCTGTACCATATGGAGATTCCCCCGGTACAGCTATTGAAGGCTTCACGAATTACGTGGTCAAAATAGATGTTAAATAATGTGGGAGCCAGAGGACATCCCTGTCGCACCCCAAGGTGTACAGGGAATGGCTCGGACTCGCGGCCACGTAGTTTTACCCGGGCCCGCTCACCATCATGAAGGTCCTTAATGATCGTGAGCAAAGGGTCAGATACTCCAAAAGCACGAAGAACAACCCAGAGCCCAGGCCTACTGATGGTATCATAGGCCTTGACCAGGTCAATAAAGCAGATATGTAGGTCTTGCTGGAATTCCCTACACCTCTGCTGTAGCAGATGGACAGAAAATATGGCATCTGTGCAGGACCGCCCTTTCCTGAAACCGCATTGGGGCTCCGCAAGCCTCTCCTCAGCGTGTCTGGCAAGGTGATGTTGAATAATCCTTGCCAGGACCTTTCCCGGCACACTGAGGAGTGAGATGCCGCTGTAGTTGTTACAGTCTGTGCGGTCCCCCTTCTTAAAGAGGGGGACCACCAGGGCATCCTTCCAATCCTGCGGAACTCGTCCAGTGGTCCAGACTGTTGTTATGATGTCATATAGGGCAGTCTGTGCACAAACGCCACCCTCCCTCAGCATTTCGTTTGGGAGATCATCTCTGCCCGCTGCCTTTCCTGGTCCCAGACTCCGGATCGCCTTCAGTACTTCTTCAATTGATGGAACTTCAGCCAGCCACTCACAGGGGGTGACTTCTTCCAATATTTGAGGCACCGCAGCCTCAGTAGGGTCATCCTCATTTTGTGCCACGATGTTTTCCTGGCTGAGGGATTTTCCTTCCCCCAGGACCTCACAGAAATGCTCAGCAAAACAGCAAACCTGTTCCTGGTGGTCGGAGATTGGATCACCGTTTTTTCCCCTAATGATGGTAATAGGTGTGGCGCTGCAGGTCACTTTTTTGATGGAGTTAAATAGAGATTTGTGATCGTGGGCCAATGAGGCAGACTCCATCTCCTCAGCAACCCGCAACCACCACCCATCCTTGCAGCGCCTCACGGCTCTCCGAACCTCCGAGCGAAGGCTGCCGTAAGCCTCCTCATTCTCTGACGTGGGATTCTGTAGCCGATGACAGTGGGCCTGTCGCTTTTTCTCAACCATCCTGAACACCTCCTCTGTCAGCCAGGGTCTCTGGGGAGGTGTGGACCGCGTACCCAAAGCAGCCATTGTAGGTGCATGAGTCACAGTCCTAAACCTCGCCCATTTACCCTCGACATCAGGAGGAGTGGGGGACGATGCCAACCCCAGCCGCAGGCAATGATGAAATTCTCGCTTGCAACTTTCATCAGATGCGCACACACACACACAACAACACCAACAACGTCCACACAACAACAACAACAACAACGCCCACACACATCCCAGGAGACATCCGCGACTCACCTTGGATGTCGTCGTTGAAGGTGCAGTACTTGTGGCGGTACTTGTTGAGCAGGCGGAACGCGTTGGAGTTGGCGAAGTCCTCGAACTGGATGAGGCAGTTCATGCCGTACCTTCGACCAGAGAGACAGAGAGAGACAGAGAGAGAAAGACACACGAGCAGCAGCAGGATGAGGGTTTCTGATGGTTCCGTCAGCATAGCAGCGTTTGGGGGGAGCATCTGAAAGTGTTCATTCTGGGGGGGGGGGGCTGCTCACCGTTGCGTCGCCGCCTCCATGAACTCGCCGACGAGGGCATCGTAGTCGGCCCCGCGGACTCGCTGGTGCCGCAGTCCGATGTAGAGCGGGTCGTCCAGCAGCGCCTGGGACATCGCCCGCCACCCAGCAACCAGCGGCAATCAGCAGCAGAAACCAACAGCAGTAACCAGCAGCAGCAACAAACAGCAGCAACAACAACAGCAACAATAACAACAACCAGCAGCAGCAACAACAGCAGCAACAGCAACCAGCAGCAGCAACAAACAGCAACAACAACCAGCAGCAACAACCAGCAGCAGCAACAACAGCAGCAACCAGCAACAGCAACAACCAGGACCAACCAGCAACAACAACCAGCAGCAGCAACCAGTAGCAGTAACAACAGCAACAACCAGCACCAACCAGCAACAACCAGTGGCAGCAACCAGCAGCAGCAGCAGGGTTGCCACGTGTCCTTGGTTTTCCCAGGACTGACCTCTTATAATAATTATTAATAAGAAAAAATGCCACCTTGTAACACTGCCACGTTGCAAGTTTACATGAGCAACTAGGTGAGTGAATAGAGAGGCAGGTAAGTGACGTCATGACCGAGTGATTGAGCAGGCGAGTGGGTAAACGAGTGAATGAGCAGGTAAGTGAACGAGCGAGCGGGCGTGCGGGTGAGCGAGCGGGCGAGCGGGCGTGCAGGCGTGCAGGCAAGCGGGCGTGCAGGTGAGAGAGCGGGTGAGCGGGTGAACGAGCGAACGAGCGAGCGGGTGAGCGGGCATGTGAATGAGCGGGCGCATGGGTGCGTTTCCTCCTTGTGTCAATCCGCGCTGGGAGACCACTGCCTACGAAAGGTCGCCCGTTATTACTGTTAGCTGGGGTGCCAGGATGGCTAGGAGATGTTTACTCCCTCGCCTGTTACGCAGCAGCTCGTGGTTTAGATCCCGACCCTGGCGCCTGCTGTATATTTGGAGTTTGCGAGTTCTTCCCGTGTTCGCGTGGATTTTTCTCCGGGTCCTCCGGTTTTTCCCTCCACATTTAGAATTGACATCGCGCGTTTTAGAGTATTTGGCTGCTATCACATTTCCACTTGAATATAAGCCACTATAGCCCGGTCGCTTCTGAAAAAGAGCGAGAGCTTAATGGGCCTTACCTGGTAAAGTAAACACATTGTTTGGTTGATAATTTTGCTGCTATAAATGTCAAAATGCTGTGCCACTTTGTTAAGCTATCATTTGTGGCCAGATCACTTCTGACATAGAAGTTAACACCTCAGTGGGCTTTGCCTGGTAGGATGGGGATGAGCATTTACATTATGAGACTTCCTTTGCCAGTAACAAGATATAGTAATAGGTTTTATGCTTTTAACTGGCACAAAAACTGACACCTTTATTCAAGGCATCATGTTTGCAATAACCACAACACAAGCAGTCAAAATGCAAACAAAAGAGACAACTCTGATAATAATGTGCACTGTCCTTGAATTTGATTGGTCCACACCCGAGACAGCTTTTCTTAGAGCCTAGTCTCCATTGGTGTTGGACCAGAAGACGCCAAAAGCCGTACAACTCAAAAACAGCACACTATCAGAGTATTGAGGAGGTCTCATAATGTAAATGCTCACCCCGAGCCCTCAATACTCTGATAGTGCGCTGTTTTTGAGTTGTACGCCTTTTGGCGTCTTCTGGTCCAACACCAATGGAGACTAGGCTCTAAGAAAAGCTGTCTCGGGTGTGGACCAATCAAATTCAAGGACAGTGCATATTATTATCAGAGTTGTCTCTTTTGTTTGCATTTTGACTGCTTGTGTTGTGGTTATTGCAAACATGATGCCTTGAATAAAGGTGTCAGTTTTTGTGCCAGTTAAAAGGGTAAAACCTATTACTATAGGATGGGGATGGTTTATTTTATCTATATATGTTTGGTTCATTTGATTACCTTTCTTGTACTTTGCTCGTCCAGCGTGTGTTTTTGTACTGTTTGTTGTAACGTTCTTACCCGCCCCTACTGCACACATGTCAAAAAAGAGCTTTACAGCTCATCGGATTCCTCCAGTATAACCGCATATTCTGATTCTGATGAGTTTGGGTTGTTGTTGTTGTTTGTTGTTGCCGCTGTGGCTCGCCTGGTTGTCTGTGCCCACGTCCAGCATGACGGGCAAGCAGTGCTGTGGCCGCACTCCCCCGCATGCTGTGTAGAGTGCCAGCTTGCCCACGGGGATGCCCATCCCGTAGCTGCCCAAGTCGCCCAGACCCAGGATCCGCTCACCGTCCGTCACCACGATCGCCTGGCAGCGCCGCGCGGAGCAATCGATGTCGTCGATTAAAATCACTTCCAATGACGGTAGCAGTTGTAGTAGCAGTAGTAATAACGAACTAGTAACTAGTTCATTAGACCTCCTTTACCAGTACCAAAATGTAATAATAGGGTTTTTTTCCCCTATTTTCTGGCAACAAAACTGAAACCTTTTTTTACAAAAGAAAGCGGTCCCTTGGTGTGGACCAATCAGTTTCAAGGACAATGCATATATTAATGTATTTTTTTGTTTGCATTTTGACTGCAGGTATTGTGGTTAATGCAGACATGAATCCTTGTAAAAAGGGTTTCAGTTTTGTTGCCAGAAAAAAGGGGAAAACCCTATTATTATATTTTGGTACTGGCAAAGGAGGTCAAATGATGTAGATGCTCACCCCGAGCCCTCATTACTTTGATAGTGCATTGTCTTTGAGCTGTACGCCTTCTGGCGTCATGTGGTCGAGCACCAATTGCGTCGAGGCTCAAAAGAAAGCCGTCCCTTGGTGTGGACCAATCAGTTTCAAGGACAATGCATATATTATCATGGTATGTTTTTTGTTTGCATTTTGACTGCAGGTATTGTGGTTAATGCAGACATGAATCCTCGTAAAAAAGGTTTCAGTTTTGTTGCCAGAAAAAAGGGGAAAAAACCCTATTATTATAGTAACTAGTTGGCATGGTTTTACTTGGGTGACAAACCTTGCTTAGTGGCCGTGTCGGGTGGTGGCAGGCTTAACGACACATTTATATTTACGCGACCAAACCCAAAAAACAACCTGTATTATGGATGATATTGGTCGCGAAAGCTTACTACTATGTTTAACACGTAGGCTTTCGCGACCAATATTATTCATAATAAACGTTTTTGGGTTAGATCCACAACTCATTACTAATCATAACAATTGACTTCTCACCAATCTATTATATAATTACAATACCCACCCCACTCCGCCTCAAATCATTGCACCTGATATGAGTTAAATTATGACGTCACCCTCCTGCTGCTCTATTTAAGACCGGGAGCAAGTGGAGGGCTTCACCATTCTGGCGAATTGCCCGATGATGCTGGATGTAATTACCAGTGAAACGTCGTACTCAAACTGTAAATGTTGTGGATTCACTCTTCAACACACCGGTGGGCTAAAGTAGTGAACTAATTGCCCTTTGTCAACGTGACACTTTTTTGCTGATTGGCCGTGTCGGGTGGTGGAGGGTTACGACACGTTTATAAATAACGCGATGTTACTACCACGCGTTAATCAGTGGCAGCAATAATAATGCCACGACTTGTAAACGCCATGCTACCATATTCTTGGTTCTTTCGATAAAGTCACGTTGACATGACGTTGACATGACCGGCCACGTCAGCTTCCAATGGCTGCAGCAGCGATGTGGCTCAGGAGCTCGATGCCAATGTCGAGGAATCTGCTACCGCTGTTGCTCGCCACGACGAGACAGAGGGTTCGTGTCGGCGTTTCCTCCTCCGCCGTCATTGAATTTAGCGCAGACCGCAACTTCCCTCGCACCTCCGACTGGCACCGCTGGCTACGGACAGCGCGAAAGAAGTTCAACATACACACGGTACACGCAATGTCGGTCTCTGTCTCATGGGTTGCATGGCCACTCCTGTGTCGCTTGTACCTTAATGGATCTCGACAGGCATCTATGTATCTCTATGGGTCTCTGTGTATCTCCATAGGTCTCCAAATATCTCTACGCGTCTCCGTGTGTCTCTGAGGGTTTACTGCACCGTCCACAGTTTTGGTTGCATGGCCACCACCGCAATCCTGCTTCTTGCCTCTTTAACTTTCCATTCACGAAGGGGATGTGGCGCATTGGCCTGCTGATCGTCGATGTTCAAGGAGGGTCTCCGGGGAGGAGGAGGGAGGTCAAAGCCAGGAGGTGCGATGTTTGGACCTCGAATGCGAAGTTTATTCTGGACTGAGTCCCCCCACCCCCTGCCCCCCCCCACTCGCCCTCCCCCTGCCCCCCCCACCCAATGCACCCCCACCCCCCCCCCAAACGCCACAGCCCACCGACTCTAAACAATGTCACGCGACAGGGCTGCTCTTACCCGGATGTCCTGCTGGGGCCAGGAGTTGAGGATGGTGGAGATGTGACCGCGGTCGTGAATGGTGATGAACAAGCCCCTGCAAGCCAAGGGGGGGGGGGGGGTTGCGGGGTTAGGGTTCGATTCCTGCACGGGTGGCGTTGCGACTTTATCCACGGAGGGGGCGTTTGCATGAGAGAGCGAGAGAGCAGGGGAGGCGACTCGAGTTCGATTCCCGCTCAGGGCCAACACCGGTGACGATTATCTGAACCGGTCCTGGGCCCTCCTCGAGGTCAACTCAGTCTAAAATGAGTACCCGGTGCGGTGTGTAAACATCGCCGCTAGGGGAGACAAGGTGGCCGGGGGCGGTGCTGGCCACCCACCCCCCTTCTAGTGCCGTTGCCGGCCTTCATAGGTGCTGCTTGCTAACAGCGCTTGCCCCAACAGCCTGTTAAGGTCGTATGGGGGATGTTTGTCTTCGTGTGTGAGCGTGGGGAGCGGCAGCGTAAACGGTTAGCGCGTCGCACTACGAGCCTGGCGACTCGAGTTCGATTTCCGCTCATGGCCAACACCGGTGATGATTACCTGGACTGGCCCTGGGCCCTTCCCTAGGTCGACTCAGCCTCAAGAGGTAACCAGTGCGGCGTGTTAACTACTTCAGCCCACCGGTGTGTTGGAGAGCAAATCCATCACATCAAACCAGCATCATCGGGCGATTTGCCAGAATAGTGAAGGAATCCACCAGAGTAGGACGACTTGGTCGCTGCTAAGGCTGTACGGGGCGGGGCACAACTTTGTCTTTGTGACGTGGGCCGACGTGGGCTGACGTGGCTGACCTGGGCCGCCGGAAGGCGATGCCGTACTGCTGGCAAGCGAGCCCCACGGTGGGGGTGTAGACGATGGGCAGGAAGCGCTCTACGTCGGAGGTGAGCACGCGGTAGAAGAGCTTCTCGTTGCGGTCCTGCAGCGTCATCAGCAGGATGTACCTGTACGGGCGGCAAGGGGCCGCTCGGGGCTGAGTTGAACCTTCCCCGCTCCCTCGCTCGCTCCCTCGCTCCCTCTCTTTTTTTTTACGATCAGAGGAAAGAAGAAGATGCTCGGTGTAGTCGGCACTTTGCTCCGTTCATCATTTCGTTTTTTTATGATTTGCTTTATGTAACCCCCCCCCCCCCCTTTTAAATGAAAGACCCAACAAAATATTTTTTCCTATTTTTTTGTGCTCTCCTTACCCCTTCCCTCTCTTTCTACCCCCCTCTCTGCCCCCCTCTCTCTCTGCCCCTTATCTTCCTACTCCATTTCGCTCTCTCTCGCTTACTCTCTCGCTCTCTCTTTTTTTAATTTGCTCCCCCGCTCGCTCCCTCCCCCGCTCGCTCCCTCCCCCGCTCGCTCCCTCCCCCGCTCGCTCCCTCCCCCGCTCGCTCCCTCCCCCGCTCGCTCCCTCCCCCGCTCGCTCCCATCGCCGGATGCGAACTGCCGCGGCAGGGGCAGCGAACCCAGGTCGCTGGGACCGCGAGAGGTACAACCCAGGTTGTACAAGCGAGCTGGGTTGTACAACCTGGGTTGTACAAACTGGGTTGTACAACCTGGGTTGTACAACCTGGTTTGTACAACCTGGGTTGTACAACCTGGGTTGTACCTCCCGCGGCAGGAGCGATTGGGAAGCTTGCATGTTCAAACCCTGGTTGTCGGTGCGGGGGGGGGGCGGGGGGATGTTGACTCAGCCCCATCATCCCTCTGGGGGGGCCAATAAACTGCACACCGCTTTGTGGGGAAGTCAGCAGTGGCTGTCCAATGGATAGACCCCCACCACCCCCGTCACAGGAACGTAGAATCTCTACCGCCGGCGGCTCGGTACGCTGCGGACGACCGAGCGGTGAGCGCCGCCTCATTGCCGTCGCTCGATTCTCATCCTCGTCGCGAGCTCTCTGACGTTCCCACACTGAGGGTCCGGGTTCGAGCCGACACACCGATCCGATTCCCCTTGAGCCACTTGGCGCCCACACGCCTTTGCCTAGACTTTGCCTGCGCCTAAGTGCCGCGGCCGCCACCACCACCACAGCCCAGCGCCGTTGTGTGTCGTTGCGTGTCGTCACGTGTCATTGTGTGTCGTCACGTGTTCTCGTGTATCATCACGTGTCATTGTGTGTCGTCACGTGTCGTCGTGTATCATCGCGTGTCGTCGTGTATCATCACGTGTTCTCGTGTATCATCACGTGTCGTCGCGTGTCGTCGCGTGTCGTCGCGTGTTGTCGCGTGTCGTCGCGTGTTGTCGCGTGTCGTCACGTGTCGTCGCGTGTCGTCGTGTGTCGTCACGTGTTGTCGCGTGTCGTCGTGTGTCGTCACGTGTTGTCGCGTGTCGTCGCGTGTCGTCGTGTGTTGTCGCGTGTCGTCACGTGTCGTCGTGTGTTGTCGCGTGTCGTCACGTGTCGTCGCGTGTCGTCGTGTGTTGTCGCGTGTCGTCACGTGTCGTCACGTGTTGTCGTGTGTCGTCACGTGTTGTCGCGTGTCGTCACGTGTTGTCGCGTGTCGTCACGTGTTGTCGCGTGTCGTCACGTGTCGTCGCGTGTTGTCGCGTGTCGTCGTGTGTCGTAGCGTGTCGTCACGTGTTGTCATGTGTCGTAGCGTGTCGTTGCGTGCCGTCACGTGTTGTCACGTGTCATTGTGTGTCGTCGCGTGCCGTACTTGTCCAGGTCGCTGGAGCGTGCCTCGAAGTTGCGCATCACGCGGTACGCCTGCACGTCCTGCGAGAGGAAGCACGGCGGCAGCAGGCCGTGGATCCCCAGCTGGAGCCGCTCCTCCAGGGTGAACGCCATGCCCTGGTGGGTGGACACGAGAGGGACGAGGGCGAGGAGGAGGAGGATGTAGTGCTGAGCGGAGGTGAGAGGTGCAAGAGGATTTGGTGAGCAGGGGGCGGCCCTACATTTGACCATTTTGGCTTTGTGAATATATGTGTGTCATGGGACCTCTTTTGCCAGTACCAAAATATGAGAATAGGTTTTCCCCTTTTTTCTCTGGCAACAAAACAGGTGTTAAGATGTTTGAAACCTTTTACAAGGAATCACGTCTGTATTAACCACACACAGTTGCTGAGCGCAGTACCCATAGGCCCCAAAACGTGGAGCGGCCAGCAACAAACAGCAACTAATTAAAAGCGGCGGTGCGAAAGAAGTTCACCGTGCACGCAAACAGTACCCCGACAGTGGGTCGTTAACGCGATCCTTGAATCTGAGCGAGGTTGATTACGAGAGCTTGCGGGAAAGTAGAAAAAAGTAAATCCAAAGAGACTATGGGAGGGAGGGAATTCCACTGCGGCTTTAGCGGAAACGCAGACGCGACCACAGGGACTCCACTACTTACGAACATCCGACTTACCAACTTTCAGAGATATGAACAAACCTGTCCGTGTGTCCAGTTGCAGCTGTTCGGACCAAGAGTCGTAAGTTCAACCGCCGCGCAATAGATGTTGGGGGTGGTACTGTATCTACATCTGCAGAACATGAAGAGCCAATGGCATCTACATCTGCAGAACATGAAGAACGAGTGGCATCTACACCTACAGGACCTTTAAAGCCATTTCCCGTGTTTAGCGTACATGTCATACAACGTGTTTGGAATCGACAGCAGTAAAGTTGAACTTACGAACGAATAAACTTACGAACAGACCTCTGGAACCTAACTCGTTCGTAAGTAGAGGAGGCCCTGTACTTATTAGGTGCAAGGTTATTTGGGCAGTGGCTTTGTGTGGTTGGCATGGGCCCTCTTTTGCAAAGGAGCGAAATGACCCGTCCCGAGTGGACATCTGTGAAAAAAAAGAGCTTCATCAGTTCATCGGGTTCCTCCAGTATCAATACATACTCTGATTCTGATTCTCTCGAGCTTTTGCCACGAACTACTTGAGCGGTGATCAGCACGGTGAAGAACGGCCGGTCAAAATAACCAATCCGACCGACGCGGCGTTGGGGTGTAACCTCCATCCAGAGAGTGGATTAACATACGGGCCTACGCACGAAAATGCACGTGCGCGTGTTTTTTTTTTTAAGAGCAATCACAGCGTTACATTCCAAAGATCAGCAACTTCCTTTATCGCGATGTAAAGCTGCTGAGAGATGAGCGAGGGGAAGGCATCAGAGTGCAGAGGGAAGGGGGGGGGGGGGGGGGGTGCATCAGCGCTTTTTGCCGAAAACCAGCTGAGCCCGTGCAAAACAACGTGCTCCTCGTAAAACAAAAAAATATATACTTTAGCCTCCTTTATTTGCATTTATCACCGAGTGCTAAACGCTGACACGCGGCGCTCCGTGAGGCTTCGCGTTATGACCCTGACCCCCCCTGCCCCCGGGATGATGTGTGCCCAGGAGGAATTGTATACAGAGAGGTGGTGGTGGTGGTGGCGGCAACGCTGCTGCACGTGGCTGTCCAGCTCCTGTGGAGGCATCAGCGAGGGTTGGTGGATCGCCGCAGCAGAGTATCATCTGGCTGCTGCCAACTTCCACGCGATCGCCCGCTTGTTTTTTTTTGGCCGAGCTATTATTTGCGTGGCCCAGGTCGCTTCTGACAATAAAAGATAGGGCTGCAGAGTTCAGTGGGCCTTCTCGATGTCGTGAAACTCCCCTTCCGCCCGTGAACATCGAGGGGCTGCCCCCCATGCCCCTGGCTGGTCAGGGGAAGGTGGCACACTAAAGTGCGGACTAATCTCCATCCGTTCCTACTCCCTTCCCCGTGGGCGCGGTGAAGAACACCTTCGCTCGCCAGGAGAACACGGCGGTACGCTAAAGGTGAAACCCATCTCTTCCATCCGTACGGGATAGAGTGTCTCCACCCCCCCCCCCAAGTGATTTTTCTTCGGGGGCTCTGGTTTCACCCCACGTGTATAGAACAGCCGTTCATTGGTCGATAACATCTCACTATTAATAGAGGGCCGCAGAGCTCGGGAAATTGTTGGTAGTGTCGGCTCACCGCCTGGCTGCTGCCTCCTCCGCTCGCTTGTGGTTCCTCCACTCACCTCCGAGTCGCTCTTTCTCGCTCTCTCTCACTCTCGTTCTTTTTTTAACGATCAGAGGAAACAAGAAGATGCTCGGTGTATTTGCTTCATTCATCATTTCGGTTTTTTTATGCTTTGCTTTATGTAAACCCCCCCCCCCCTTTTTAAATGAAAGATTTAACAAAATATTTCTCGCTCTGCTCTCCTTACCCATTCCCTCTCTCTCTCTACCCCCCTCTCTCTACCCCCCCCCCCCTCTGCCCCCCCCTCTCTCTCTCTACCCCCTCTCTTCCTACTCCATGTCGTTCTCTCTCTCGCTTTCTCTCTCTCTCGCTTTCTCTCTCTCGCTCTTTCCCTCGCTCTCTTATTTTTTTAACTACGACAAGTGCTGCAACTGCACCGAGCCCTCCTCACAGTCAAACGGCCTCCGACGGGTAGCTCACAATCTGCACGCACAGAGCTCTCTACCGTCATCTGCCACCGAGCACACGGCCTCCTCCAGCGCCCACTGCTCCTTGAAGGCCGGCACGGCATGGGTCAGCCGCGCGTGGCGGAACTCCGGCCCACACCCTGGCTCCGACCAGAGCGCGGAAGATGTCCAGGCTGCTGGCCAAACATTTCCCCTCCACGGCCGCCTTCCTCGCCTCTATCGTTCTCTCTCCGACAGTGCGTTAATACTGCGTGGAAGCGTCGTGTTGCAAGTGGCCGCTATTTACGATGATGATGATCGTCACCATCGTCGCCGTCATGTTATTGAATCAACAGCAAGCGCTGAACCTGTGCCAAATATTCCGCATTCGCTCAATCGTGCCGCGTGCCGGCTGATCGTCAGTCACGGACCAACGGTGGCGGCTCCGCTTGGCGTCGCGCTCGGCTGTGGCAGTCGAGGCTGAGAGGGTTGTGGGAACCCGGCGTGAAGACAAAACCCACCCCGGGTAGCACAGATGGGTACCACCACCACCACCATCACGGCGAGTCGATCGGCAGGTCGAGTGCTGTGGGGCAAAGTGTGGGCAATCTCACCGCTTCCAAGACGGTGCGCCTGGCCAGCGTGGAAGAGTAGGCCAAGATAGCGGTGTCGTCAGCAGGAAATTTGCAGGGCTGAACCTTACCTTTGACCCTTTTCATTATATTTATAGGTATATAGGCACAGCTGCGAAGTCAGCAACGCTGGCAGACGTTACCAATGCTGGTGGTGAGAAGTTGAAGGTCAACTTGCCACACCAGCTCACTACTACGCTACACGCATACACGCCACATCAGCGCACTACTTTGTACAAAGACGGCGGTCACCGCATCGCGCGCTTTCAGATGCGCTTCTGCGGCCGTCTGGAACGCTCTTCCTTCCGATATTAGGAATCCGCTGGGGCTTTGCTCTTTTCAATTATCTAGATCGACGAACTAATTTCTTGAGAACTCCTTTTATGTGTTTAGTTTGTCGTCCTTCCCCCCGCACCTCCGATGGGCACGGTTGGCTACGTACGCTACGAAAGAAGTTCAACGTGTATTCGTACCTACAGTATTATATACTATATGTGTGTGTGTGTGTATGTATGTGCGCACACGCTGTTCAATGCGGCTGATGCCACGACGCTGGTTCACGACGCGGAACACTGGCCGCCTGCCACAGCGTTCCGCACCTGGCAGCTGCGGGGCAAAACACGTGCCACATGCCACGCCACGTGGGCAGAACCACCATCAGGAATCGTGCTGTGCCAGGCTAAATTGAGCGACCTGTCTTGGCTGTAAGTGGTGCGGTCCTACCGCTCACCCACCCCCCGTGATGTTACGATTCGTGAAGTTCGTTACGTGGTCGTTCATAACGACACGATGAATACGGAACCAAAAATAAACCTGACGAGCGCCCTACTCCAGACTTGCGCGTGGCGGCAGCAATGTTTGCCCAGGAGCTCGATGCCAATGTCGAGGTCTTGCTGCTGCTGCTGCTCGCCACAACGAGAGGGCTTCAGCAGAGAGCGAGAGAGAGAGAGAGAGAGCGTCGTTTTGCTGCTCTGTATGTACGTTGAACTTCTTTCGCACCGTACGGAGCCAACCTCGCTGATCGGAGGTGCGGCTGAAGGAGCGCAGACCACAGTGGCTTTACCGAGTGGTGTCAAGTTTGGGCTGTACAGGGCCACAATCAAAAAGTGAACAAAGAGGCATCGGAGGGATGCATTGTTGGAATTGCAACGAGAGACACCAAGAGGAACGCGTGGGATTAGCGGGCATCTCAGAATCTTTATCAGAATCAGAATATCTATTTAAATTCATGCTGGAGGAATCCGAAAAGGCATAAAGCTCTTTTTTTCACAGATGTCCAGTCGGGGCCGGTCAGAAAGTTTCAACAACGAACACTGGAAATGAACGCAGGTCAGAGCCGTCTTCTTGATCTTCGCCCAGCAGCGGGATAGAAGAACATCGATCATAACGTAAGCATGGAGAGACGCATCCGCTTGTAACTTCACTTCCAAAGAGACGGGGAGAGAGGAGCACGCGTGGATCAGAGAACTGCACGTGGGATCGATGACGTCGCTGAAATCGTGAAAAAAATAGCAAGACTCGGGCCCGAAGCGCAATTCCTCGAAGAGACGACGACCGATGATGAAGGATAATAACGGAGCTGCAGCCAATGGACGGAACGCGTCCGAGAGAGAGAGAGAGAGGCACGTCCGCCGCAGAGATGGAGCGACGTTATGCACGGCAGGTGCTGGGTGGATCGTCGCATCCTCATCAGCATCTGAATTTATCCCGGAGAAATCCGATTAGCTGTGAAGGTCTTTTTGTGTTGTGTCACAGACGTCTAGCCGGGGCGGTCCATGACGTTACGACAAACAGCGAACCGTGAGAGATGACGCGCTTGTGGAGGCCTTCGTCCAGCAGCGGATTGACCATGGCTGATGATGCCGATGACGGAGAACTGATGACGAGGATGCTGACTGCGCATGCGATGTTGACCCGGGAGGGAGGCGTGTCGCGTCTCAATTTGCCAGCCATTGGCGTGGCGAGTCTGAGACGCGTTTCCATTCTTAGCACGCAAGGGCAAAATCTCCCTCTCGCTCGCGCCCTCGTTCGCCTGCCTGTTGTGCCCCCTCCTGAATGCCCCGTGTGCTTAGAAAGCATTGGCTCATGGGGGAGGTGTGTCTGTTGCTAAATTTGCAACGACCCCCCTACCACCCCTCTCTGCGCACGAGGCGTGTGTGAGAGCGTAAGCCGTAAACACATCTTACGCATACCGCGCAGACATACACTTCACCGAACTTTTCATTTGACCGGGTAGAGCCCACTCAGCCGCATAGCTCGTTTTTTTTTCAGAAGCGACCTGCCAATCACAAATGACAGCCCTGCGAAGTGGCTTATCACGTGGACATTTACAGCAGCCGAATACTCTAAAAGCGCGTGACGTTGATTCTAAATGTGGAGGCAAAAACCGGAGGACCCGGAGGAAAAAAAATCAACGGGACCACGTGGGAGAGAGACATGGAGAAGCTCCAGGTGTGTCCAGGGTCTGGATCGAAACCACAACCTCGTCATACCAGGCGAGGTAGTTAACATCGCCACCTGGCGCCCTCTCACAGTACAACCGTTGGCACACTTTGATTCGCAATACAAAAGTCGCCAATTCAACCAGATTCGATCTCCCTGCGGACAAAGTAGCAGTCGGTGAATTCTCAACTGAAAACGGCGTTGTTAGTACGTGTGTTCAAAGCGTCGCGATCAGAGGAACCAAATCGCAGCATGCCAGAATGTCACCACGAGGAAGCGGACACAAGACCGCTGATTCATCCGCGGGATGCATTGCAGGATGGTTCTGTCACGTGTTCGGTTCGCATGGTGGATGCCGATGTGATTGTCATCTTGATTGGGAGGTTTCGCTACCTACGCACGATATGCCCAAAAGCAGACGTGCAGGTAGCTTTCGGCGCAGGGAAGAACTTCAGCTACTTTCACATCGATGCCATCCCCCAAGCTCCGTCAACGGCCTTACCCACCTTCCACAGTTTCGCATGCTGTGATACGGTGTCTTCATTTTTTTTCTTTTAAAAGGGGAAAAGGTCGGCATGGCAGGCTTGGAAGTCTTATCCCGCGGCAAAACAGAGGCTTTCAACTTCATGGTGGAGAGTCCATACACCTAGTTGTATGTTGAAGCTGAGCACTTCAAACTGCTTGACCGCTATACAGCCGTCGTCCTGTATGACAAGACCAGCCACTTGCGTTCTGTCAACGAGGCACGCAGGCGGTTTTTTATCTGTACCGCGTGTGAGCTGCCCCGACAACAACAAAAATCACCGCTTGCAGAGGGATGGGGCTGGCCGCTGGGCGTGAAGAGGCAGCGGCGAGAGGGGCAGTCCGCACGAGACGTTACGACGACTGGCTCGGGTATTAAAAAAAGACTTGCCGCATGCGATGGGGCCAGGCGGCTATCATCCTGCCAGCACTCCGATTGAGAAATCCGTTTGAGAAAATGTCATCAAAACCACGCGCTCAAAGCCAACACCCACAATCAGCCACCGAGTTGCGGGTGGCGTCACCACGGCGCCTGGACACATTTGAGTCTGAGTCGACCTAGGGGAGGTCCAGGACCAGTTCAGGTAACCATCACCGGTGTTGGTGGCCGTGAGCGGCAATCGAACTCGGGCGACCGGGTTCCTAGCGCAGCGCGCTACTCGCTGAACTACTGCCACCCCCCCCCCACAAAGACAAAGATCTCCCGTATAGCCTTAACAGGCTGTGGGGACAAGTGCTGTTTGCGAGTAGCACCTATGAAGGCCGGCACCGTGGCACACGAGGGGATGACACACACAGCAACACAACGCTTTTCGCCACTGAGTGGCGGTGACGTCACCACGGCACCCGTGCCAGGCCAGGTGCACTTTGAGTGCCACGTGAAGTGTCGAAGGCTCGCTGAGAGGAGGAGGTCTCGGGACAGACCCAGCAGGTGCCATGGGTTGGCCGACTTAGATGACCGGTAGATGCACCGCAAGCTGTACCCCCTACTGTGCCAGGCTAGATGCAGGAGGTCTCGGGACAGACCCAGTAGGTGCCATGGGTTGGCCTACTGAGATGACCGGTAGATGCACCACCAGGCTGTGCACCCTACTGTGCCAGGCTAGGTGCAGGAGGCCTCGGGACAGACCCTGCAGGTGCCATGGGTTGGCCAACTTACTGAATGAACAAAGATAAAAAAGATCCCCCGTATAGCCTTCACAGACTCCTCTTCTTTGGTTCTTTCGGTAAAGTCACGTAGAATGAGAATAAAATAATAAATTGATAAAATAAAATAACACAATAATATTCTCACGACGTTTCGGCCACAACACAAGCGGCCTTCATCAGGTGAAGGGGGCGAGACTGTCTGGTAGGACAGCGCTGGAGTGAGAGAGCCACGTTCAGATCACGGCTTTTAAGCTGTGTGAGAGGAACAAAGAGCCTTGACACAGGAATTAGCATAAAATTTAGCATTGAAATGGCTGAATGATTAGCTTGTGACTGGTCACAGAAATAGCTATGTTAAAAGTTAAAGCATACACATCCGCAGAGGCACCCATTGTTAAAAGGAATTAGCATAGAATTTAGCATTGGAATAGCTAAGTTAAGGCATACACATCCGCAGAGGCACCCCTTGACAATGGGATTAGCATAGAATTTAGCATTGAAATGGCTGAGTGATTCGCTTGTAACTGCTACAGAAATAGCAGACTGTTGGGGCAAGTGCTGTTAACGAGCACCTGTGAAGGCCGGCACGGCACACGAGGGGGTGGGTGGCCAGCACCACGCCCGGCCGCCTTTGTCTCCCCAGTGGCGATGTTTACACACCGCACCAGCTACTCATTTGAGGCTGCGTAAACCTAGGGGAGGCCCAGGACCGGTTCAGATAATCGTCACTGGTGTTGGCCGTGAGCGGGAATCGAACTCGGGTCGCCGGGTTCGTAGCGCAGCGCGCTAACAGCTACACAACCGCCCCCCCCCCCCCCCCACACACACACAGAACTGTAGTGTGTATGAAAAACAAATTACACTTCTGAAACGAAGAACTAAGCCCGTGACTCATTCAAGAAGTTCACCGCACCCAGTTTAGAGGCACGACATCGGCCGAGGTTTTTTTACACGTCAACAGAGCCATCAGTCACAGCCCCTTGTCAATCCACTGCTGGATGAAGGCTTCCCCGTGGCTGCTTTCGGTCGGGCGGTCTTGGAGGGGTCGCTTGACCATACTTCACCAGGGCTGGGTCGGTGCAAAGTTGTTGAAGGCGGAGGGGGGGTGGGCAGTTGTCAGAAGCCGGTGGCAAGCGCGCACTGAGCACACGTCAAAGACCCCCCCCCCCCGTGTAGTCTTGCACAGCAGCGCCTGCCAAGAACGGCACGGCACGCTAAATGGGTGGGTGGCCAGCACACCACGCCCGGCCGCCTTTGTCTCCCTCCCCCCCCCTCCAGTGGCGATGTTTACAACACCGCAACGAGGTTACTCATTTTGAGGCCGAGTCGACCTAGGGGAGGGCCGGCGACACCGGCGCAGGCAGTCGCTGTCCGCGTGCGGGAATCGAACTCGGGTGGCCGGGTTCGTGGCGAAGCAGCGTGGCGCTAACCGCTGCGCCACCGCTCCCCGCACGATAGCACACGCGAGTACAAAGACAAAGGTCCCCGCGTGTAGCCTGAATATACTGTTGGGGCAAGTGCTGTTAGCGAGCACCCACACGCGTGTACACACACACATCACACCATCATACACATCACACACACACAAACCATCATACACATCACACACACATCACACCATCATACACATCACACACACACATCACACACGCGTGTACACACACACATCACACCATCATACACATCACACACACACATCACACACATACACATCACACACAGACATCATACACATCACACACATCACACCATCATACACATCACACACACACACATCACACTAGTATACACATCACACACACATCACACCATCATACACATCACACACACACATCACACACATCACACCATCATACACATCACACACACACCAGCACACGCCGTCAAACTGGTAAGCTCTCTCACAATAACAACACACAACAACAAACAACAATAACAACAAGGCACCATCGTCGGCACGACGCCCGTCACTCTCCACCCCTCCGTCTCTCTCTACCTCCCCCCCGTCTCTCTCCACCTCCCCCCCCGTCTCTCTCCACCTCCCCCCCCCCGTCTCTCTCCACCTCCCCCCCCGTCTCTCTCCACCTCCCCCCCCCGTCTCTCTCCACCTCCCCCCCCCGTCTCTCTCCACCTCCCCCCCCCGTCTCTCTCCACCTCCCCCCCCCGTCTCTCTCCACCTCCCCCCCCCCGTCTCTCTCCACCTCCCCCCCCCGTCTCTCTCCACCTCCCCCCCCCGTCTCTCTCCACCTCCCCCCCCGTCTCTCTCCACCTCCCCCGTCTCTCTCCATCTCCCCCCGATCTCTCTCCCCCTCCCCGTCTCTCTCCACCCCTCCGTCTCTCTCTACCTCCCCCCCGTCTCTCTCCACCTCCCCCCCCCGTCTCTCTCCACCTCCCCCGTCTCTCTCCTCCCAACCCCGTCTCTCTCCATCTCCCCACGTCTCTCTCCACCTCCCACGTCTCTCTCCTCCCCCGTCTCTCTCCACCTCCCCTCCGTCTCTCTCCTCCCCCGTCTCTCTCCACCTCCCCTCCGTCTCTCTCCACCTCCCCCCCCCGTCTCTCTCCACCTCCCACCCCGTCTCTCTCCACGCCTCTCGTCTCGCCTTGTTGAGGTGGGGGTTCCGCGTGATGTCGTAACCCCGCTTCTTGGTTTGTCCCGCGCACGCGGGCGGCCCCGTGCACCACCGAGCGACGCCCCCCCTCGCCGCCGTCGGCGAGGGGGTCACGATGCAGGACCCCCCCCGAGCCACAATCGGAGCCCCGGGGAGCATCGCCCGCCGGAGCGCAGCGACGCAGCTCACGCCACCCGTCGCAGATCGGCTCGCCACCATCATCATCACCATCATCCTCCTCCTCCTCCTTGTCGTCGTCACCAGCAGCAGGAGCAGCTTCGTTTGTCCGTCGCTAAATCGATACCTGCAGGGCAGCGTCCCCCCACCACCCACCCACACCTCCACCTAAAGTCTAGCCCTGTTCCCCGGCGCGGTGAAGTATGGTCAAAGGAATACACGGCCCAGATCGAGAGCAAGCGACGCGTGCCCCAGAGCGGTTGCTCATCCAGCGGTGGATCACCGTTCGCCTCCCCCCCCCACACACACTAAGCCTGCACGTGCACAAGGGTGTACGAGGCCGTGGCAGCCGCACGCGATGCGATGGGCGTGTGAATCGCCTACAGTGATGGGTGTGTGTGTTGTGTGAGCTGGGCTCAGCTTGTGGCCAGAGTGAGGGGTGTAAGCGAGGGGAGGGAGAGAGGATGGGTGGGATGGTGGGTGGGGTGAGTGGGAGGGCTGTTGGTGGTGTGGGTGGCTCAATGTCAGGCCGCGGCGCCGTTTGTGCCTCGCTGCCTTCACACGGTGACATCGATTCCAGACGTCGCGCTCCACTCCACCCCCCCCTCCTCCTCCTCTTGTCCAGAGGCCGTGGGGCTGGCCAGGGTCGAGTTCAGATCGGTGCCAAGCAGCGGCGACAAAACACACACATATCACGTGACACGTGCCTCACTAACACAATACACACATCACGTGACACGTGCCTCACTAACACAATACACACAGACAACACGAGACACGTGCCTCAATAATACAATATACACAGCACGTGACACGTGCCTCAATAATACAATACACACAGCACGTGACACGTGCCTCAATAATACAATACACAGACAGCACGAGACACGTGCCTCACTAATACAATACACACAGCACAGGACACGTGCCTCACTAATACAATACACACAGCACGAGACACGTGCCTCACTAACACAATACACACACAGCACGAGACACGTGCCTCACTAATACAATACACACAGCACGATACACGTGCCTCACTAACACAATACACACAGCACGAGACACGTGCCTCACTAACACAATACACACAGCACGAGACACGTGCCTCACTAACACAATACACACAGCACGATACACGTGCCTCACTAACACAATACACACAGCACGAGACACGTGCCTCACTAATACAATACACACAGCACGAGACACGTGCCTTACTAATACAATACACACAGCACGAGACACGTGCCTCACTAACACAACACACACAGCACGAGACACGTGCCTCACTAACACAATACACACAACACGAGACACGTGCCTCACTAATACAATACACACAGCACGAGACACGTACCTCACTAATACAATACACACACAGCACGAGACACGTGCCTCACTAACACAATACAAACAGCACGAGACACGTGCCTCACTAATACAATACACACATCAGGAGACACGTGCCTCACTAATACAATACACACACAGGACGAGACACGTGCCTCACTAATACAATACACACACAGCACGAGACACGTGCCTCACTAACACAATACACAAAGCACGAGACACGTGCCTCACTAATACAACACACCGCACGAGACACGTGCCTCACTAATACAATACACACAGCACGTGACACGTGCCTCACTAACACAATACACACAGCACGAGACACGTGCCTCACTAACACAATACACACAACACGAGACACGTGCCTTACTAATACAATACACACAGCACGACACACGTGCCTCACTAATACAATATACACACAGCACGAGACACGTGCCTCACTAACACAATACACACAACACGAGACACGTGCCTTACTAATACAATACACACAGACAACACGAGACACGTGCCTCACTAACACAACACACACAGCACGAGACACGTGCCTCACTAATACAATACACACAGCACGAGACACGTGCCTCACTAAAACAATACACACAGCACGAGACACGTGCCTCACTAACACAATACACAGCACGAGACACGTGCCTCACTAATACAATACACACATCACGAGGCACGTGCCTCACTAATACAATACCCACACAGCACGAGACACGTGCCTTACTGACACAATACACAGATAGACAACACGAGACACGTGCCTTACTAACAAAATACACACAGCTAGACAACACGAGACACGTGCCTTACTAATACAATACACACTGATACACAGCACGAGACATACCTTGCTAACAACCTATCCATCGACACACAACATGCCTACATTACAGCCTGGCATGTTGTGGGTATCAGGCAACATATGCACGTGGTGGCGCTGTTGGTTGCATAGAGTGGAACGTAGAACGGCGGGTACGGGTACCCCAGCGTATATCGGCCATGTACCGCTCTGGAGAGTGAACTTGAGGACGGCAGGGTAAAGGGAACACTCCCTTACCCCCACCCTCGCTTGGACCCTGGGTACAAAGATTCATTTCGTAGGAAACCGTCAACACAACTTTGTTACTTCGCTGGCTGTAGATTACAACCAAGGTGTTAATCTTGATGTGAAGCTTTCGTGACTGCAGGAATCCATACTCTTTGGTTCTTTCGGTAAAGTCACGTGGGTATAAAATAAAATAAATCACGACGTTACATTGGAGATAATCGACGTGATCGATCTTCATGGCCGGGTGAGAGTTCACTGGGATGGCAATTCTCTCTTGTTCGGGGGAGGCCTGCGATGGAATTGAAACATCGTAACGGTAGGAGGAAAACGAGAGCTGATCGGCCGTGTTGCAAAGTGACGAAAACCGAAACACAAGAGAGGCAAGCCTCTAAACGTCGGAAAATGAGTTCCTCAAATGAACATCGATGCAGTGGTGGAAATTCCACGTGTTTATGGCGGGGCTGAGTCCATCCACAGGGCAACCACTGTTGGCTTCCTCACATAGTGGTGCCTGTTTTTTTTTGATCGACCTCGGAGGGATGATGTGCCGAGTCTACCCACAAAACTAGGAGTTGAACTCAAAACCTTGTGATTGGGAGCGGCACACTCCACCGACATCAGGAATACCCCGATGGATCGGCTAGCTTTCGTAATTTCACCCTTAATATAAATCTATAACTTACTCTAACTAAATTTTGATTTAAAGCTTTCGTGACTGCAGAGATTCATATTCTTGGTTCTTTCGGTAAAGTCACGTAGAAGGGAAACAATAAAATAATAAAAATATAAAACAATAAAATTGTCACGACGTTTCGACTGCAACACAAGCAATCATCATCAGGTGTGAAAACCACACTTTTTCAAATTGTCTTGTTGTGGTTTTCACACCTGATGATGATTGCTTGTGTTGCAGTCGAAACGTCGTGAGAATTGTATTGTTTTATATTTTTAATATTTTATTGTTTCCCTTCTACGTGACTTTACCGAAAGAACCAAGAATATAACTCTATTTTTTACTTTACCAGGTAAGGCCCACTGAGTTGTGTAGCTCTTTTTCAGAAGCCACCTGGCCACAAATGATAAGCCCAATGAAGTGGTGGGAATTTATAGCAGCCAAATACTCGAAACGCGTGTTGTTGGTTTTAAATGCGGAGGGAAACCCCGGAGGAACCTGAGAAAATCCACACGACCACGGGGAAAGAGAGACACGCAAACTCCAAATATACAGCAGCAGCAGGCGTCAGGGTCGGGATTGGGATCGAACCCACGACCTCCTGTATACCAGGCGAGGTAGTTAACATCTCCTAGCCACCGTGATGATGATGCTGATGAGAAAGAGACACGCAAACTCCAAATATACAGCAGCAGCAGGCGTCAGGGTCGTGATTGGGATCGAACCCACGACATCCTGTATACCAGGCGAGGGAGTTAACATCTCCTAGCCACCGTGATGATGATGATGATGAGAGAGAGACACGCAAACTCCAAATATACAGCAGCAGCAGGCATCAGGGTCGTGATTGGGATCGAACCCACGACCTCCTGTATGCCAGGCGAGGTAGTTAACATCTCCTAGCCACCGTGACACCCTTAATAAAAACACGATGGATGTACGTTTTGGCTTTCAAAAGGGGGGGTTGTCTTTTTACTCAATGTCTACTCATGGGTGACGACTGCTTATATGCCAAATTAGAACCGTTCATCTGGAAACGGGTGTATATGGTGCACAGTGCAGTCTTCAGCTATCAATCACTAATCTCTCTCTGGTTTAAATCTATCAAGGCTATGTGGTGTGGTGTCCTGTCTAGTATCCAACTATTAAGCACTCAATCTGTATCATTAGACCTCCATTGCCAGTACTAAAATATAATCAGAGGGTTTTTCCCCCTTTTTTGTCTGGCAACAAAAACTGAAACCTTTTTACGAGGAATCATGTTACTGCTAACCCAGAGGACGCCAAAAGGCGTACAGCTCAAAGACAATGCCACTATCAAAGTAATGAGGGCTCGGGGTAGTGCATTGTCTTTTAGCTGTACGCCTTTTGGCGTCCTCTGGTCTAGCACCAATTGAGACGAGGCTCAAAAGAAATTCGTCTCTGGTGTGGACGAATCAGTTTCAAGGACAATGCATCATATTATCAGTGTGTTTTTTTGTTTGAATGTTACCACAAGTATTGTGGTTAATGCAGTAACATGATTCCTTCTAAAAAGGTTTCAGTTTTGTTGCCAGACAAAATGGGAAAACCCTTATTATTATTACACTCAATCTGTCTTTGGTCGTATCAGGGCCTCACAGTCGAGACATATTATTCACTCAAACTATCTCTAGTCTATCTCTCTCTCTCTCTGGTATGAAGGGCCATTGCCTGAAACGTTGCCTATTTTCTAATTGTATCATATATATAACTGAACACATTCATCAATAACACCGTGACCTTAACAGGAAAAAATAATAATATAATAGGCAAAGTTTCAGGTAAAATCCTTTTCTCACAACAGATCAAATTTCTATCTCCATATGTATAAAAGGCAAAGTTGTGATTATGTGTGTCTGTTCAAAATGTTTAGCGTACTTCCCGACATGCAACAAACTTGAAATTTGCCATGTGAGTACTTTCCAGACTGTACACCATGCAACAATTATAAAAATACACTTTTGTATAAAAAAATTTGGGCCGGTGCGCAATAATGCATATTTCTTGCACGGCAAGTGAGCTGTCACGTCACATCTGTCATGTGACCCGTATGCGGAAGCGTCACGCAGTGTGGCTGCTGATGTCACTCCCCCCCCCACCCTCCGCGAGTAAAGTGACATACAAATGTGTTGCAGGTCTAAGGCGTTCTTCGCGCAGCATTGCTTTATTATTTCAGTCGTTTACTGCCGTACGCGCCCTGAAAGTTGCGTGGTGTGTCTGCAGCAAGCGCGTGTTTGTGTACCTATGGACGAGCACGTGTGTGTGTGTGTGGGGGGAGCGGTGGTGTAGTGGTTAGCGCGCTGTGTGTGTGTGTGTGGGGGGAGCGGTAGTGTAGTGGTTAGCGCGCTGC